ATAAATTCGCTGCATTCAATTTCCGTTTTTAAGAACTCTAATAATTCGTTTACTTAGAAATTATCTTTAGATTTTCTTTTTCTTTGAAAAATCGAGATTCAGTAATTTTAATAAAACTGGTGTCAATAAAGTGCCATGAGTGCCAAAAGTTACATTAAGTGATTTCAAGCTTCTTATTTGAATTTTGATATCATCATGTAATTTACGTGTTGCAAATATGTTGTTAGAATTCATAGAAGGTTCTAAATTTAACGATATGTGGATTTATAATTAAATTTGTTCGACTAAACGTGTTTTAAGTAACTCGATTGCGGCAAAATAATTTTCACTCGATAATGCAAAACCACTAACAGCATTACAAGCAGCACCTGATAAAAATGAAGTGAAATAATTAAATTTGTCTGGATCTGTTAAATCACCATTTTGATGTATCGCATTGTCAAACTGGTTCCAAAATGATAACCAAGTAACAGAATGGCCATTAAATTTATTGATCGATAATTTCGGCAATTTAATTTTGAATGAGAAACAGAAATATTTGACATATAATTCACAATATTACCAATTGTATTCGAAACAGGAATTTCAGGTTTCCCTTTCTCTTTTAATATAAATGTTAGTTTTGAATTCATGGAAATTACTTTCTCGCAATAAACTTCACAAGTATCAAATTCCAATTCATATTCGGTAGCCTCAATTAATTCTTGTATTTTTTTTATCTAATTATTTACAATTATTTATCAACTTCGTTGTCATACTCCTAACTACAGTTCGCCATTTCTTTTATTCTTCTATTTTAATAGACATGTTTAAATATTTCAGACAGAAAATATTTCAATAGAAAATAGAGAATAATTTTGAAAACTTTTTGTTCTTAGAAAAAAAAAATGTTTCAAATTACAAATCGGTATTCTTAAATCATAAATATTCTTTTATTTAAATTTCAAATCAAAAGGAGATATTTTTCAAATATTCCTAAAATCTTTCACTTCAATCTAGTCTACTTCGGCGGTCCCTGTTCGGGCGCCAATTTTTTATTTCAGGAAAACAGATCATTCAAAATTCTAGATAAGCAAATGAAGCGAAGATGTTTACCTTCTTCGATGATCTTCGTTCTTCGATTCTGGTCCGCAGCTTTGGGAGATTATATTTCAAACTCATCTAAAATTAACACTCTTTTGCACGAATCACTTTTTTTTTACACTTCACACAAAACAGTAACAACATCTCAATCATCTCATCATCAGAATTTATCATAAGCAAGGATTTCATTAGTGATAGTTTGAAACTTTATGATAATTATTAATTATATTTTGCAACTCCCTCTCCATTCCCATTCAAATATTAAATACTGTAAGCATTATGTTTGATAACTGAAAATTTGAAAAATATGTAAGCATGTAAAATTATATAAAATTAGTAAATTGAAATAAATAAGTACTTTCTGATTATCTGCTCCCCGATTTCAATATTCTGTAGAACTGCTCTGTTTTGGTGTCTTTTCGAGTATATACACCATAGAATTGAGAAATAATAGGATTAGTCCCTTTCACGTCCATAGTATAAGCGCAACAATAGTGTTAAAGGCTGTACAACAATTAATATCATTATTTAAACTTAACTAATGATTTTTCAACTTACGTTTTTGTTATTACTTTTCTTGTTGTTGAATGATAAAGATTATTATTGTTATTATGAAAAATATTCTTTCGTTTTTTACATAATGTTTAGAACGCACCGTTCTCACCCTTCTTTTGATGTTGCTTATGTTAGCAGTGCTAATAAGGCTACATTTTAACTGAATGAATGTTAATTTTTAAAATTATTGCATTCATTCATCTGGAGAACTAGTCGCTCATTTGAATGATTTAAAAGGCATCCGTAACATTTTGTTCGCAGTAGCTCTTTACAAACAAGCAACCCTGCATTGCTCGTACTATACATGTGTTTTAGTACTCGTGGATCTGAACGCTTTATATTTAATAGCATGTACCCATTGTAAAAATATAAATGTTGGCCATACAACATTTTTTTCGCATAAAATTTCTTTTCGCTTATAAAATACTTCTTTTTTACTATTTATGAACAAAATAAAATTTATGACATAAAGTTAGCTAAACAAATCTTTCTTGCCATTTCACTGAATTCTTGCCCACTTTTTGAGTCTCCAAGTGGTTGGAATCTTTACGCGGAGGAGCAAATAATCAGAAAGTGCCAACAAAAATATCACGGTTAGCTGAACTTTTTTAAAGCTGGCATTTTGTTCGAAATTGTTTTATGTTTTAACATTCATGTACACTGATTGAAATAAGATGACTGATATGAGAAAGAAAACTTACAATTTCTTATTCAGAATTTATTAAATTATTAATATCGAACATCTTTTTCAAGTTTCAATAATTTTAATTATGTAAATGTTAATATTGCTGAATGTTTCACCTACGTTTATGCTATCACTCCTGTTCAGATTTATAACAATATGTATATTCTGAATACAAAAATAACAACTGTGATAACTGGCATTATGGTTTTCTGCCTCTCTCATGGCCGTTGGCAACAAACTGGCCGGAATCAGGCTTTTATTGAACAATGAGAGATCTATTTTTATCTATGATTAAAGGCCGATTTGGTTCAATGTCCATAGGCCATAGTTTGTGGACCCCCGCTTTACATGACGGAATTCATGAGCCATCTTCCGAAGTCACTTTTACATGAGCAAGTAATTACTACAATGAAGATTAAGCACTTGCATGCATCAAGTTATCGAGGGTTAGTTTTTTTCTTAGATAAGTTTGATTTTAAAAATTCGCCAATGGTTTGCAATTTAAAATTATTGTTAGCAGTCCATCTAAGAATTATGAAAAATTATGTGAAAGATTCTGAATAAACTTTATTTGGAACATTATTTTCTATAAACAATGATGTAGAAATAGAATTTCGGCGACAATTAATTAGGTTGTGAAGCAAGGATATCTGCCAAGAATATATAGTGACTTTGAGTTTCAGAAAGCAGCGCCTCCTTTTACCCTGTATCAAGTGAAGAACATCAGTAAAACAAAAAGATGAAAGTAAAAGTCAGGTGGCCGCCATCAGTCGACGAAAAAGGTGAGTGTCTGGTCGAAGGTCCAAATCAGTGAACTGAAGAATCTAGTATAAGTAAAAAATGTTAAGGATGGAGAATGTTAGATGGATATTTGTGCTTTTCTCTGGGAAATTGAAAACATCTAAAAGAGTTGATGCAGTTGTTAGGATGAGTGAGAACTGAATAGAAAAAAATTTCTAGCAAGTTTTGAATATAATCTTGAATTGTATGAACTTTGAGATCAAGGTGGATATACGAATTTGGAATGAACCATGGCGCGTTGTAATCTCTCTGAGTGCTTTGTTTTGAAGAACTTGGATGTGTTGAAGGTGAGTTTTGGCAGCGTGGCCCCAGACAGGACTAGCATAGAGTAATGCTGGTCGAAGTATAGATTTATATAAGAGGAGTTTATTAGAAGCGGATATATGACTTCTTCTGCCAAGAAGTGGGCGCATAGTTGCAAGCGTGATATTGATTTTTTTTTCACAGTTTCCCTGAGATGTTTCTGAAAAGTCAATTTTTTATCAAGAATGACTTCTATATATTTAACTTCGTCAACCCAGTCAATTTCTTCATCAAACAGAAGAGGTCTAGTTGCAGTGAAATTTGCTTGGCCTTTGCGAAAAATTATTGCTTTTGATTTTTCGGTATTAACTGCAATCCTCCAAACAGTGAGCTAATTTTCTAGATGATTGAGGTAATGTTGAAGAAGTAGCTGGACATCAGTAACAGTAGAAGCTTGCGTCATAATTGCACTATCATCAGCGAAAAGAGCAATGGTAATTTGTGGATCCTTAGGAATATCGTAAATGTAAATGTTATACAAATATCGAGTAAATATAGATCCTTGTGGCACTCCAGCGAAAATTTTTCTCCTGGAAGAAACAGAATTGCCACTTTTCACTGTAAAGATTCTGTCTTGGAGATAGTCTAATACAATGATCGGGGAAGTTTAACTTGATAAGTTTGTATATAAGTCCTCGGTGCCATATCCTATCAAAAGCTTTCGGAATATCAAGGAAAATGGCTCCGGTACGGAACTTACAATTGAAACCGTCAGTAATATAGTTGATGACACGAAGCAGCTGGTGATTAGTACTGTGAAGATGACGGAAGCCAAACTGTGCTGGAATGTAGGAGCTCTGTGGAATAATTTAATTAAGATGGTAAAGAATAACTTTTTCAGCTATTTTAGAAAGTTGACTGAGAAGGCTGATTGGGCGGTAGTTCTGAGGAAACGTTGAATTTTGATGCGGTTTTGGGAAAACGACGATGATGGCATGTTTCCATATATTGGGAAAGTAAGAGAATTTGATGATAGAGTTGATTGTCTTAGTAAGACAAGTGATGGCATTGATAGGAAGATGTTTCAACGCTTTGATAAAAATACCATGAGCACCAGGAGCTTCTTTGGGTTTTAGGGAGGAGCGTAAAACCGAAAAAAAATGTCTCTTCAGCTTTAAAAAATATGCCATTGCAAATATATTTGTGCTCAAAATTTCAATCAAATATTTAAATCAAAATTGATTTAATAAAAATAGCAAGTATTAAAGCATAGTATTTACGATGCATTTCCGTCGAAAGGACCCTCAGTAATTCGATGGATTTAATTTTTCTCTTCTATCTTTAATTTTTGTAAATAACTGAGTAGCAATTGCGTACAAAGGAAATATTTTCAGAAGGAGAATAATAACCGATAGTAAAAAAGGCTTGACTATCATGAAAAGGTACTATATTTCTTTTGAAACACGTTGATTGTCAGATTTTTATTACATATAAAGCCACATAAAAAGTTTTAAAAAGTGAATATATAAATAAATTTCGCCACCTATTAAAATTCATGCTTGGTGGCGCAGAAATCGCATATCTGATGAAATGATTAAGCTATTTTGAATTGCTTGCTCAACGCAACTTGTTTCAGATCATCCTGGACCCTGAGTGAGGGCAAATGGCGACTATGACTGAACACATAGGATGGAATGAGTCTCAAATTACTTCTCTAAATCAGCAAGTGGATCGCCTTAAATTATTATATCCAATGGTTAATGAAAGCGAAACACCTCTTCCACGATCATGGAGTCCAAAGGATAAATTTACATATATTGGTCTTTCTCAAAATAACCTTAGAGTGCATTACAAAGGTAGAGAAAGTTTATTCAACTTGGTAACTCTCTTGTTTGTGTAATCATGTATTACGTATTGGATTTGTTCTTTGTCTTTCAACCAACGGGTTTTTTTAATTTATTAGGGATTGCCAATGGATATTTATAATTAGTTCTGTTATGACAGCTGGTAGTGTATAACTATTTAAATAGTTCATAAAATTAAAAAAAAATATTATTTTAAGAGTTATTGAACAAAAACACTTAACATCGTACCAAGATTATCTCGCGTTAATAAGTGCTTTTTTTTTTTTTTATTTCTTTTAGAAAACATTTATTATCTAAACACAAGTTTCGTCATTCTGGGTAAGAAATGCGTAAAAATCGTTTTTCTTTTGCAGTTGCTGAACCTTTAAAATTGGATCCTGAACTTTGTGGAAATATTATTTTCAGAAGGCTGAAATAAAATGCGTTAAAGTGACCATGTTTAAGGGAATATTTATTGTATCTAGTTAAAATGTTGAATTCTGTTCTTTAATTGAATGGAATCGGAATAAATAGAGAATTACAAATATTTATACATTCTTGAAATATTTCCTCATCGTATCAGTCAGGTTCTAAAAGAACGTTATATCCACGGAATTGAGGTTAATTAAAAGTATATAAATAAGAACATTCAATTAAAGTTGCAGTGTAATAATTTTAGAAAATTAATCTCTCTTCTTGTTATTGTTTTAATAAGTTATGTAGTATATTTTTTAACGTCTGTAAAAAAAATTACATGCTATTGATGATGTTTCAGTATTTACAATAAGTACATAACAAGTGCTTCCCTCCCCAAAAAAAGTTTTACTAAAACATTTTTAGGTAATAAACATTTTTTTTCTCAATTTATAGATATTGATTTTTATGCATTGAATCTGCTGTTATTACTGAAGCTTCAGAGGAAATAATATATAGTTTTAAACTATCTTGAAATAATCAGAATTATTTTAAGAATGTTGAATAAACTAAAATTCTATCAGTTAAAGTTCTAAAATTTTTCATGTATAATTACTGTGATCATAGTGTTTAAAGTAAATATTACAGATGAAATATTTAATATAATATTAAATTATGAACATACACATACATATAAAACATCAGTTAACAGTATGTATAATTATCCAAGTTCATTGTAAGTGTAAAGCAGGATATCTCGTAGATGTTATATGATTTGAAATTTAAAATATTTCTCTGAATTTTAATTTAAGTCTGTTCGTTCTTTCTCTGATATGTAAGAAATTAATTTTTTTTATCTTTTGTTTACAATTTTATCCCAAATTGTTAAGAATTTTTTTAATTTAATCAGTATACAATCTGATGTATATTTTAATGGTTATTAAATATTAAAGTGTGTTTTTGTTCCAGTATGCACATTCTTTATATGATTTGAAGAACTGATTGCATGTTTCATTTCTATTTTTGATTGATGTAACATAGTAAATTAGTAATTTCCTTTAGTTATGCATCATAGAAAACTGTACTCTGAAGACTTTTAACGTAAATATGTTGTTTCTGAATTATGACAAACATTTGGTATCTATTTGATAATATTGTAATCGTTATATAAGTTGGTAATGAGATTTTTTCAGGTACAGAAAATGTGTCCTGTATGTAAAATTAAAGGCATTCAAAATTTGATTGATTAATGATGCTTAGAATTGCCAGCATTGAAAACTGTTGTAAAAAATTGAAAACTGCTATTGAAAATTCATTATTTGTTTTAGAATAACAAGAGGTGTATGGCTATTAAATGAAAATCTGTTTTAAGAGAAAATTCCAGAAGTTACTTTTTGTTCATGTTAACTCGTAGCTACCAATATTAGAAGCTAGCCTTCTTTTATGTTTAAAGCTTAATTTTCTTTAATTAAATATGGCAAAATGTTTAAAAAAATATGAATATATGAGAAAAATACATGTTAAACTAAATTGTAAAGCAATGCAGATTTTGGAATTGTGAAGTAGAGGTATTTCTAGATCTCAAGCTATCTTTAAACAATAATGTTAACCACTTGTGCTATGACTAAACTTCACGTTTGTGGTGCCGTGCGCTACAATATAACAAGCGGTAAAGTGTCTCATTTACACCACTTCATGTCTGCGAGTGCAATCCAGAGCTTTAACTCGAGAAATAAACAATCTCATTGTTAGGCGATGTGTGCACCACATTATTTTCATTTTTGCACGTGGTTTGAGACAAAAGCGTCTTGACGTGCGTGGCACATCTTTTTAGCGCAAGTGATTAAATTATGTCTATGGATAATTATAGAAGTTACATTTTCCATTTATATACAAGTTTAACATCACTATGAAGTATGTTACTAATTTATTCAAAGAATAAAATTGTCTGAGTAGTAACTAAATAAATAAAGCTTCAGAACAGTGTTAGTTCATATCAGGTTTTTATTCTGTATTTGAATTGGTTGGCTGCATGATGTTTTCACAACTTTTTTTTTTTTTTATGTGTGTGTGAAATTAATACAGGGTGATGCTCACTGCAGACTTCTTCCCAACAATATTGTTGCGTTTTTTCTTTTCTGACACCAGTTGTTGCGTTATTTTCTTCGTTAACGTTCGTACAGGGTTCGTGTGGATTTGGAGTGAATAACGACGACACTTTATGAAGTATCGAAACACACTTTATTTGCCAGTATTGTCAGGACAGCTCCAAAACACGTTTTACAGTCGTCGAATATCTACTATAAACACACTGACACGATCAGCGACACACCATGCAGGTTATCAGGCTATCACGGTGGAGACAGCTTCCTGCAAAGCAGCCGACTCTGCTTTCCGGAGTACAGCTCCCGACCCTACTTGGTCGTTCTCGGAACTCCACGTAGTCTCGAGACTCTCGACGCTACAACTCGTGATGCACTCGACGACACATGAGCACAGCTCCTGACTCTTCAGTTCAGTCTTTCAACGGAGCTGAACACGCTCTCTCGACGATGCACTAACTGCGATACACGAACAGACTCCTTCAGTGGACTCGACGACTCACTCGGCACTCTCTGCCCGGCTGTCAAGTCGATCGACTATGCAGGGATTGATTCGCTAGACGAGGCACACACACTCTCTTTTCGATGAAGCACACTGACTGACTGTGGACCAGCTGGGTTTATATAGCTTCCGGCTTGTGTTTGGGAACATTCTGGACTGGTAAGGATTCGTTCCAGAAGGTTCTCCAACCGGTCATGGTATATTGCCAATTTTGTCGCCAAATGGGCAGTTTCTCGCCAAATGTGGCAACCCTGCCCTCCTTGCAATTTTATGGCAACCATAAAACTGCTTTGCAGGGAAGCCATCTCACCACGCCTTTACATTTCGAAACAATATCTTTCCCTTGGTTAATCTTTGGATTATGGTAACTTGGCCATTTTTTGCCGAAAATTTGGCGATCAAACCTGCTTACATTTCGAAACAATATCTTTCCCTTGGTTAATCTTTGGATTATGGTAACTTGGCTATTTTTTCCCGAAAATTTGGCGATCAAACCTGCTAGTTTTTGTTTGGACGCCATTTTGTTTTCACGAAGTAAAGGCATTTTTTTTTTTTTTTACTCAACATTTTTTTCCAGCAATCTGCTAGCCGAATTACGCTTATGCTAGAACTTTTATGGAACAAAAGTGCGTAATCATGATCGAAGAAGATTAGGTGCGAAATTGGGAGAAAGTGCTAGAATTGCCCTACTGCTTTTTGCGTTTTTAAGGATTGCACATACACGGTATCATCCATGTACACGTCAACCTATTTTCACTTTAAAAAACATCCCAGACTTGCACAAAAATGGCATTGCACACACTCTTGACTTTATCCATGTACACTGCTAAAGTCCTAGCTAGTAACCTTTATCGCCTTACCAAAATGTCGCCAAACTACCTGTTACCATATTCCAAAGATTAGCCCTTTCCCTCTAAGGAAATAAGTCCAGTGAGTTTTGTTGTAATTGAATTCCTTGTATTAAGAATGTAAAGTAATATAAATAGTAAAATGTTTTGGGCTAATTTATGTAAATAATATAAAAATAAATCAAATATTAATGAAATCAAATTGTGTAGTTTAGAAAAATGATGCGTTACAGCTTATTTGTATCAGGATATTTATTTTATGTAGATGTGAGTGAGTAAATTATTTAATTTTTTAATTGTTGGATAAGAGTAGAATTGTTCTGATTTTTTTTGTTAAAGCATAAAGATATCTAAGCAAAATAGTAAGCTCATATTTCTTTCAAAGTATTTTTCTGAAAGTTAGTGTAGGTTGATCTTTACAATATGGTAACTGGTAGTTTGGCGACATTTTGGAGGCGATAAAGGTTACTACCTGGGACTTTGGTAATAATGTGAGCAGTACTCAGTTCCGATTACGCATTATTTTGTGTGAGGGAAATGAGAGATCATGGGATATGTCATGTGATATTAATGGACGAATTACGGTTCTTTAATCGGAAAAGGGGGGGAAATCGGGAAAAAATCTGGAAATTTTGTATTTGGCTTTATTCTGTGTTGTGTGAAACAGTGTTCATGAATTTTTGGATCCCATGGCCATAACTAAAGTGAATTCGAAATGGGTATTTATGTATGTATTAATTTAATGTATGTGCTCATTTATATTTTAAGTAGTTTTAGTTTTTTGAATTTAATTATATTTAATTAAATGATAGTTAATTTTGTGAATTTTATGTTTGTAGGAATTTGGTATACGTTTAAGTTGAAGTAAACGTGCATGGAAATAATTCAAATATTTGATACTAAGTATTTGTAATGCTTGCGGTATGAATTCGTTGGTGACGTGTATAATGTAATAGATGATTTAGAGGTAAAAGTTTTTTTTTGGATATTTTATTTATTTTATATGTGGAAATGTTCATATTTGGAAAAGGGTAAATACTTTTTCGCGATCAGGTAATTTCATATATGTTCTTTTTACCGGGTTTAAAGATTGAGAAAATTGTCATGTATTTTCGTGAAATTTTTCTAATTTATGAGAGAAAAAAAGCAGTGTACATGGATATAGTGAAGAGTGTGCGCAATGCCATTTTTGTGCAATTCTGGGATGTTTTTTTAAGTAAAAATAAGTCGACGTGTACATGGTTTAGTGATATTTAATTAAATGATGTTATTTGTGAATTTTATGTTTGTAGGAATTTGGTACACGTTTAAGTTGAAGTAAACGTGCATGGAAATAATTTAAATTTTTGATACTAAGTATTTGTAATGCTTGCGGTATGAATTCGTTGGTGACGTGTATATATTGTAATAGATGATTTAGAGGTAAAAGTTTTTGGATATTTTATTTATTTTATATGTGGAAATGTTCATATTTGGAAAGGGTAAATACTTTTTCGCGATCAGGTAATTTCATATATGTTCTTTTTACCGGGTTTAAAGATTGAGAAAATTGTCATGTATTTTCGTGAAATTTTTCTAATTTATGAGAAAAAAGCAGTGTACATGGATATAGTGAAGAGTGTGCACAATGCCATTTTTGTGCAATTCTGGGATGATTTTTTAAGTAAAAATAAGTCGGTATGTACATGGTTTATGTGTATGTGTTATTTTGAAAAACGCGTAAGGAGTATGGTATTGTGCACTTTTTCCCAATTTTGCAGTGAATATTTGTCATGATTAAGCAGTTTTGTTAGATAAAATTTCTAGCATAAGTGTAATTCGGCTAGTAGATTGTTGGAAGAAGTGTTCAGTAGATAAAAAGAAAAGAAACATGTCTTTACTTCGTGAAGACAAAATGGCAGCAGGAAAAAAAATAGAGGGTTGCTGTAGGAGAGTTGGTCGCCAAATTTTCGCCAAAAAAATGCCAAGTTACCATAATGTAAAGATCAACCTTAGTGTACACTTAGTCATTATTTGAAAACCTTTTTTTTAAAAAAAGGAATGAAGCCACATGTTAATAATATGTAATAATGTAAACCTATGTGTTCAGATTTTTTTTTTTTAAACATTCTATAGTCTTTAAAATATCTTTTTGATTTCTGTTTCTTTTGTATATTTTTTGTAAAATTTAAAACTAGATACTAATATACTTTCTGATTATCTCTGGTTTTGACATTAGATAGAACTACCATATTTTTGACAATAGCCAACACATGCATGCCAGTATCGCACACATGTTTATGTACAAGGATTTAATGCTTTTATTTCATTGATCATCTGCTTAAGTGCTTTTATTTTCCCAGGGCACCACAAAAAATTGTAATGTTACTGTGGAGTATTCCAGCTAATGAGTGATGGATTTCTTTCAAAATGTGTTGTACACAATAGAAATTACAAAAATTTGCATGAAGTTCCTTGTCATAAAGGAGCAAAGTTTGTTAAAAGGCAATGCAAAAATTCCAAGTAAAGAGTTCACAGTAATAAAAATTTATTTGAAGAACGTTGTATCTCCTTTACAACAGCTTTTCTCTCTATTTATTTTCGAGCAAATGATTTTACATTATTGACATTTTTGAAGGATCATGCTGTTGCCAATATGTTGGGAACTTTTCATGTATATGCAGTTAATCAGAAAGTATTCCTTTTTGTTAATTTGTATAGGTTGCTACAGATTGTTTACTTGTATTATAAAAATAAGTGTATTACATTCTAAAAATGTAAAATTTCTTTTGATAAAGTTTTAATAAATTTGTGGATGCGATTATGTAATACAGAGGCTGTTCACACATTTTTTAGTCGATACATATTGTATTCACAAAACTAAATTACATAAAAATCTTGTGTTTTAAATGTTGTATTTGACATCTCTTATTCTGTACTATCTTTCGACACTGCAATTTCCAAGATAATAATGCCTTTTGAAGTGGCAGAAGAGGTATTCTATCCCATTCCTCCCGAATATCTTTCCAGAGTCCTGTTAGCGTTTTGGGCCAACTTTGGATAATGCAGTTTTTAAAAGTCTGAAAGCACAAAAATCTATAAGTGACACATTAGTAGAGATATCAGTGAAGGGTATGGCCTTGATACCAGTTTTTTGTTCCATTTCTTGTAGGAAATTTACAGTGGATTTTGATGTTTGACTGCTAGCTTTGTTGTGATGGAGTCTCACAGATTGATGGCACTGTGGGTAAAGCAATGGTATTTCATACAGAAAAATTGGCCATAAAATATGTTCCTGATAGTATTTGGAGTTAATCTTGACTTTTTTTGCACTCTCTTTATTTTTAACTTGCCATTATAAGAAAAACCAGCAACAATCATGAATCCCTTAGAAAAACTCTTTCGATTCTTTGAACCGTGTACTTAAATTTTTTTCTCCCCTTTTATGATAATAAATGGCTCTTTTTTTGTTACAATCATTTAAATACGCCCATGCTTCATCTATTGTGACAATTGTTTTCCATTTTTCTTTGGATAAGTGTTTCTCATTTAGAATTCTGCAGCATGTCCTGCGTTGAGCGATATGCTTTGGAACAAGACGATGCACATTGCGTTTTTTCGCTTTCTTAAGATTTAAATCAACGTTTATAATTTTGTTTACAGTGGACAACGAGCATTGTAATGATTTTGCAACTGTCCTTTGACTAGAAGGATTTTCTTTTAACATTAAACAACGTACCTTTGCAACAGTCGAAGATGTCCATTTTTTCCTTTGATATTTGTTTGGAATTTTTGTCCCACTTGAGGCTCCAATTTGACATTTGTTTCCTTTCTTGTTGATGATATTGCCTATCGACACTTTAGATATCACAGAACCATGACTCTCACATCGTTTTTGGATTAACAGAGTATGCATATTTCTCTTCGGAAAAACCGTAAATGTAGCCTTCGAACCACTGCTTTGTTAAATTCGCCATTTTAAATAAAAACAAAACTTTCAAGCCACAGACGATCATTTTGACTTTTAAAAACGTAGTACAATTGCAATTACTTCTTTTGCAGCAAACTATTTTTTATTACCGCTTACCAAAATCGTCTAAAAAATGTGTAAACAGACTCTGTAATATTTATTCTGAATCTAACCAAGATGATAGCCTTGGAGAAATTGCTAAACTATAAATATGTGTAATCTATATTGCTGAGTGGATAATATAAAATCTTCCTTCTGAAATTTATTTAGCACAGTGGTTCAAGTAAATGTGATGAATTTTTAATCTGCTTTTAATGTATCTGCTATTTTAAGAATTTCTTAAAGTATTTTTAGTTTTATAAAATGACTTCTAAATGTTTGTTAAGTGTTTATTTTATTGTCTAAATAGGGTCTGGTAAAAATCACAAAGATGCCGCCAGTGTTCGTGCTACTCACCCAATACCTGCTGCTTGTGGATTATATTACTTTGAAGTGAAAATAGTGAGCAAAGGCCGTGATGGGTTAGTGTATATTTTTATGGTTTCAAGGTCATTGTGATATTTTTACAATTCATGCATGATTTAAATTTTGTAATTGTTAATGCAATGTGCAGTGTGTCTTTGTAGAACGTACATTATTTACTTTATAAAATTTAATTAAAAAAATAATTTGTTCAAAGTAATATGCAATAACTTGTACGAGAGTACTGTATCACATTGTTTTTCAAAGTATTTTTCTGAAACTCCGTATAATTTAATGCATATTATATTTCAATCAGTTCCAACATAAATTGATAAATATTACTTTTTGTAATGTTTTATATATTTTCTTTTCACCTACCTAAAAATATATATATATACTAAAGTAATGTAATTGCTTTGTGAATGATATTTTTGTATTATTATGTTGCGAAACTGAAATGCCGAATCAGCATATCATTTAATCTAGCTGAAGTTAAACTTGTAAATTACAATATTTTTAATTTTTCAAAAATTTCAGGGACATTTTAGAAGAGTAATTAATTTTTTCGGTAGTTATAAATGACATTGTTCAGTTAGTGTAAGATATGAAAATTTTGTTTTACATGTATAATCAATTTCTTATATTTTAATAAAATGTTCATGTTATGTATAATGTTTTCTATGAAATTGGTCCGTGGAATATTATGAGTTTATTCAGTGTATTAAATTGTTAAAATAACTATTAAATCAAAGCAGCATTTTTTAAACTCTTTTTCCTAACAAATGGCTTAGTTGTATAACTTCACACTTAAGAGCATAATTATTATGTTCTTATTATGTTTAGACAGCTGATATAGCAAAGACTTTTTTGTGTGGGGGGGAGGGGGGTAGGGGGGTATAAGGTACTATAAAATCTGTAAACGTTGAGGTAATAGGGGGAAAATTATATATGGTTTTAGATTATTTGGGAGATAAAGTTGGAGATAAATTTGGGAGATAATTTATTTGGGAGAATTTAACAGATTGGAAAATAAGTTTTTTTTTTATTAAAATGCTGAATCTGATATCGCAAATAAAAATCTCATTCAAAATTTTGTCAAGAAATATGGATATTAGTTTAGTAATCCCATATTTCCTTGCATAATTTTTACATCCTTTTTATCAATAAAATAATGCTCACATATTTTTATATGGGAATTATGAGACTAGATGAGGTCATCTAATTGGAAAAACAAGCATTGGAAAGCATGGTGGCTAAAGGATGAATGGACTGCAATTTCCATATGCATAATTTTCATTTTACAATCACCTAATGCCTTAATAACTTCTTCAGAGACTGAATTCAAAAGTTCTAATACAGAATAGATGGCTGGAGGTAATTGTAGTTGAATAATTGTTAATTAATAGCATAATGCTCATATTAATGTATGAAACTACATTGTTAGGCAGGGAGATTAAAGAATCAAATAAAGAAAATTGAGAATTCATAAATAATATTTTGATTTAAAAAGTGATTAGCAGAGTTATTTGATTCGTAAATAGCAGTAATCTAATGTTGATTTTTAAAAAGAAAATTCTGGGTTATTCATTACAATAGAACAGACCATCTAACAAGAAGAGAAATTTCAACATTTTTTGAACTAAATTAAATTGTAAAATGCTGAATCTATAGTATAAAATCATGTCTCTTTTTGTTAATCAAAATGACTTAAAAATAATTTTTTGATTAAAAAAAATGTGTAGATTTCACCCTGATTTTTTATTGATAAAAGTATGAAAAAGAGTTGCAGAAGTATGGTATCTTTTCTATGGCAAAAGAAGTATTTAAACACTTGCATGCTATCTGTAATGGAAGGGCGTGTATTCTTTATAAATTAGTTCATTATCATTGAAAAACAAAAAGGAGGAAAAGCAAGCTTTAAAACATGGAGCAATTGAAAAATAGCAAATATAACTTCTAATAAAAAGAATTGGATATTTTCAGCATGTATTAGAATAAAGCATGAATTGTGATTGTGACAGTATTATATGGTACTTAACGTATTATTGCAACCACCCTAGTAGAAATCATAAAGTTTCAAAATGAGTTGTTGAGATGAGGGGAAAAAGTAGTGGGCAGAAATGATGTACTTAAAATTCAGTAATAAAAACTGCCAATGGTTATCCCTAGACATGTCCATTTGATGTACTCCCCCCCCCAAAAAAAAATTCAAGATTATCAAAATATTTCCTCTTGTGAAGGGGTCGTTTTAGATAGGGTCATAGAAGAGTCCTGTATAGTGTAACAAGTATTTATTAACAGGTTAAAGTTACACACGGACATTACATTTAACTTTAAGAATATTTACAGAGCAAGAGTCTGATACAACCTACCAAGTGGGACGCTTGGCTTTTACTGAAGTACTTCTCTGGCTACTCACCAGAGGGCAGCCTTGTCACAGTTAGTCCAACAGTTTATGTTAAAGGATTGGTTACACCCTTTCATTTCAGCATATGATCTGGAGTAACTATAAGTGTATTTTAAAGCTTCAAAATGTAAATTAAACTCTTAATGTTCATTTTTATCATGAGTCATTATAGCTTCAGAAGCTGCTAGCTTCTATTGCTGTATGATCATTCAAACTTACCATCAAAACTGCAGTCTTGCCATCTTTAAATGCTTGTTAATATTTTTTTTTTTTTTTTAATTTCTTTTTCAAAAGAAGTATTTCAGCATTTGTGACTTAAAAAATTTTAAAATATTCCTGCTGTGCCACTTTTATTTCAGTAAAAAGTACATTTCAAAAATTGTGCTCCGTTTTTAGCAAAGTTGACAATTGTGGAATTGTGGTTTTATGATTTAATCAATTCTGTATTTTTATTGTTTACATCAGAGGCTGTGTAATATAGATTTGTAGTCATCTAATAATGTGTGCAAAATGAAAGCTTAAAAAAAAATGCATATTTTGCTAATTAAGGCAAATTTTTGCTCTGATCTAACATTTTTTTGGGGGGAAAAGATACGTTTTTGTTAAAAGTATATTTTAGTGTATTTGGTGATTTTTGGTGGTACATGGATACCAAATTTGTGCAATTCTTTGGCTTATTATTTTTGCTTGCATAATGGCGATTTTTGCGCCAAAAATTGCCGCTAGACAAACCCAAAATAACTAGGCAAAGAATTGCACAAACTCGGTATCCATGTACACATCGACCTATTTTCACTTAAAAAAAATCCTCGAATTACACAAAAATGGCATTGCTCACTCCCTTGACTTTATCCATGTACATGTCGACCTGTTTTCACTTAAAAAAAAAAATCCCCAAGAATGGTACAAACGTGCATTGCACACTCCCTTCACTTTGTCCATGTACATTCATCGATATATTTTCACTTAAAACATCAAAGGAACACCCAATTCTACAATACAGGCAAACAAAAACTAAATAATCTCAATAAACTGCATTTTAAACAAAACAGTAAAATAACATAAAGGAAAAACATGTTATACATTTAAGCACTACAAAAAGCAAATATACACTTATCCTATTTAGAAGTTTCTTCGTCTTTAGTCTGTGGCACACAAAATTCCTTAACAGCATCCAAAAAATATCATTAACGACAACTATTTGTTGCTGATAAAATGGTGAAATTTTTTGCTAATTGATACAAATTAGGAATATGACAAATTATGTTTGTTTGTTAAAATAATTTTTCAAAATTATGTAGCTATCACTACGGAAATATTAAAAAATTGAGATCTTTTTAGCTTGTAATAGATTTGGATGCTTTGTTGATATTCATTATTTTATGTAGAGTTTATTACAGCTAATAATAATAATATAAAAGGGGGATGTTATATTTTTAATAATAAGAATATTTTGCCTTTATATGTTAGAAAAATGAAGCAATTTTAATTATAATGAATTTTTTAAAATACTCATTTAACATAAATCCTTTGAATGTTAAATGCAAGCTCGTAATATTCTTTGTTGTGTTATAAAAATGTAATGAATGAAATGACATAGATTCAGTGTTGATATAAATAACAATTTAATTCATATTATTTTTAAAACCACCATAATTTTTTTTAGATATATGGGGGTTGGTCTTTCTGCCCAAGGTGTGAACATGAATAGGTTACCAGGTAAATGCCTTTAATATTGTTAGTATATTAATTGTTTTAATAGATTGATAAGTGTAATGTAAACTTATTAGGTAAAGTTTTTTTTTTTTTGTAAAAAAAGTTTTGCTGCATTGCTCATTACCTAGAATTAAAGTATTAAGTCGCATTATTTTTTTTTTATTATTATCATTTTAACCCAAAGGGGCAGGTTTCCCAGAAAGACTATTAATTTCGTTTTGACATTTTGCGTTGATTCACTATAAATGGCAAATGACTTTTTAAATTGTTTCCACTAAATATTAGAACCCTCTATTATATTTAAAGAAATTAAATAATGAAGAACCTGCATAAATATATATATACGTTTCTCGAATTGTGATAAAATAGCAGTACCTAGAGCCATCAAATTTTGAATATGGGCATCTGGAAGCCCAAATTTGGAATTTGTTTTATCTATTTCATAATTTGTAAAGCACTGCCTTTAATATTGTTACAGGGTTGCCATGCTACCGGGAAAAGTCAGGGAATTCGAAAATTGACCAAAATATTCAGGGAATTTAAGTATTTTTGTCAAAATCTGGATCCTATTCTTCCTTCGCCACGGGCGGTCGGAGAACTTTTTCGCCTCTTGAATCCACTTCCCCCCTTCTCTTCGCTCCTCCATCCCTTGCTTCGAGCTTTAGTCGTAAGACTCTCTGCCCCCCAGCCCATCCCCAAGGCATTAGCAATCACTGCGGTTTTCCGTATTACCTAATATACCTTTCCCAAGCCCTGGAAAATTGTTTCCCGGCTTATTGTCTTTCAACCTTTCCGATTCCATTAATGCAATGCATTCAGGAATTCGCCTTTAATCATCACCTCTCTCTCTTTCAATCTTGTAAAGCAAGTTGAAAGCAGAAAGAATTTTTCGTCCCTAGTGTGGACTCCTTATTCACTTCCTTCCTCGTAAACCCTTAACGGTTCCTCCATTCCCCTTTAGCCATTGCTTTTTCTTAATTACTTCAGGTTTCTTAACGAAGTTGTGGAGGTAATTGCATTAAGTTGCAAAGGTACTCCGGAAAATATCGCCTTGGGAAGTTCATACAACGATCCCGCCAAAAAAAGCGATTTTTGCGCCGACGTCAGAAGAGGTAACTTTTTTGGAGAATTATGTATCACGTGAGTGTCATTCGGGTAGCTGGCATAGAGCCAATTTTCGCAGTTCCAATATTGTCTTTTAGAAAGGCAAAGCAACTTTTGGTTTCCAATATTTTCGAGAATCGCATGTGCAGTGCATGAACTAAAGAAAGTACCTGTTCTCGTATAAAACAAAATGGGTTTAATCCTAGTATACGATACTATGGAGGTTAGAATCAAAGAATCTGTATTGTAAAGAAGGAAAACCTCTCTGCCAACAGACGTGGCTGTGGCTCCGTTCCATCATAGAGGGAAAACAGCTGTGCATGTCTGATATATCTGTCGCCAAAGCTCGAAACTGGTGTCGAAGTTCGAAGGTCATGTTATCAAGAGTTCATAAAATGAATATCGTTTAAAATTTCTTTAACCACTTGCGCTAAAAAGACGTGCCACGCACGTCAAGATGCTTTTGTCTCAAACCGCGAGTGACGTGAACACCACGTCGATAAGCATTTATCGCAAAAATGAAAATAACGTGGTGCGCACGTCGCCTAACAACGAGATTGTTTATTTCTCGAGTTACAGCTCTGGATTGCACTCGCAGATGCGGAGCGGCGTAAATGAGACACTTTCGGCTTGTTATATTGTAGCAACGGCACCGCAACCGTGAAGTTTAGTCTTAGCGCAAGTGGTTAAACTCTAAAGGAAAAGAAAATATTTTTTGGCACAAGTAAATTAATTCATGGATTAGTTATTTTTTCAGGGGGAAAAAAAAAAAAAAACTACGAAAATCCGTTTTTAAAATTAATGCAAAAATCCAAGAAGAAACGTCCTTTGATAAAACGTTTCTTCTTGGATTTTTCGCAATAATTTTAAAAACGTATTTTCGTAGTTTTCTTTTTGTCAAAGAGCGTTTCTTCTTAACACAAACACGTGTTTCTCTCAATTTCCTGTACACATCGCGGAGAGGGAAATTCTGGCCACCAGGTTCCGTCGCCAAATCCCTTGGCCAAATTTTCCCTCCGCATTCTAGCGGCGTAGTAGCATTTTACTTGTATGGAACCTTTTCTTCTTACATAGACATTTTTGGTTAGAATAATAATGGGATTTGGCGACATCTTGATGCGCAGTAAACGGGTCATTTTGGTCTTGGCGACAATTTTCAAAATCGTGCCAAAGCCTTACCGTATACTAGAATTTTACTGCAAAATCTTTTTAAACCTTTTTTTTTTTTTTCTTTTTAATAAACACCTTGCCATTTTGCAGTAAAATAAAAAAAATAGTATCAGTCATCTAGGCTAGCCATGTAATATAACTATATTCGCTAAAATATCGTTGATTATTCTAATTCAATTTTTAAATAATTATTTTTTGTTATTCATATAATTTAATGTTGCTTCTTCCCTCTAAATTTATTATTATTAGTAAATAATGTTTCCAAATTTCAGGAAATTTTCTCTGGCATAATCCTGAAATTAATTATAGCAGTATGATGACATACCATCACGAAATTTAATGCACATTTTTTTCCTTATGTATGCTGCAAATAAATATAAAAATAGCTCAATTTATTAAAATAGATTTCTTTCTTTCGTTTAGCTGCAGAATGTCTGCAAAAAAAAAAGCCTTATTTTATTCCAGATTGGGAAGATTCTAATCTCAATCTTCAGTGGAGAAAATAACAACTATTATAATTATATTTGTGTTTTTCAAGTGTTAAGGTGCCTTTTAAGAACATACCTCACGCAAATTAAATTTACCTAAAATCTAACCTAACTATTTAGCATTGCGTTGTGATTTATAAGAACCAGATTAGCCTCGTGTTGAACTGGTGATGATCATGAGTAATAATTAAATAAAAACATACATTTGTTATCCAATATATATCTTAAAATTTTATTAAATTTCTTAAGTGGAAAACTAAACAAAATTATCAAACAAAGTATACAAGAATAATTAAGAATAAATGTCCTCTGGGAGTTATTGAATAATTAAGTGAATTTGCTACACAATACAAGTAATACCATAATTAATTTACATCTTATCACAGCCAACGTACATTACGCGGATAGACTGGAATTTTCTTGAAACACACCTGGAAAAGTCAGGGAATTTCATTCTCCTGTTTCAGTGGCAATCCTGTTGTTAGTATATTAATTGTTTTAGATTGATAAGTGTAGTGTAAACGTATTAGGTAAAGGATGTTTTTTAAAATTTTGCTGCATTGATTACCTAGAATTAAAGTTTTAAGTTGCATTAGTTTTTTTTTTTTTTTTTATTTTTTTTTATTATTATTATTATTTTAATCCAAAGGGGCAGGTTTCCCAGAAGGGCTATTAATTTTGTTTTGCCATTTTGCGTTGATTCACGATAAACGCCGAATCACTTTTTTAATTGTTGCCACTAAATATTAGAGCCCTATATTGTATTTAAAGAAATTAAATAATGAAGAATTTGCATAAATATATGTTTCTCGCATTGTGATGAAACAGCAGTACCTAGAGCCATCAAATTTTGAATAACATACGTCTCCACCTGAGTATGGGCATCTGGAAGCCCAAATTTGGAATTTGTTTTGTTATCTATTTCATATTTTGCAAAGCATTTATGAGTTTTTGATTAAGAAATTCGACAATTTCATAGCAAACAATGGCAACACTGTACAAGGGGGGGGGAATTTTTATCTCCAGCACGTGAGACTGTGTATGTCAGAAATGCAGAAAGTAAATAAAGTTTATAACAAATGAAAAACTATTTGACAAACTAACATTTAGTATAAAGGAAGAATGTAAGTCTATTTATCGGAAGCATCAATTTAAAATAAATTTTGCTTTAGATGATATAAATTTATCCTATGTTCAGAACTCTTTAAATCATTTGCATAGCTGTTTAAGTCAGTTTGCAGTTCTTTTTAATTGCCACTGTGTGGCTCAAAAATATCCTAGAAATTTCTAGTTCTCGGCACTAGAACCTTCAATTTTTTTATATTTCAAGGCTGACAAATATGCATGTGGATGTAGTAATTTCTTCAGTGATTGGTAACTAATCATTAGTATAATTACTATGCTGGCAAATAAATCATTGCTGAACCCAAGTGTGGCCATGGTCATAGATTCTCTAATTTCTTACACTTAAAAGATGTATCTTCAGTCTTATTTTTTAAAAATTGTAGCCGATCAAAAATTTAATTTCTAAACCAAGTAGATTTTAATTATTTTCATGCATTTGTTATTGGCATATTTATTGTTGTAAGGTATAGAATTTTATTTTCATAACCTCAATAAGGTTTTGAACCCTGGTTTAATATTTGAATGGAGAAAAGTTATTTTGCCAATTTTATAGTTTAGATAAACTGAGTTTGAAAACTTGTGTAAATTTACCTTTAAAGTTATTTAACATATGAAGAGATCTGTGTATTATATAAATATGTAAATAAACATGTCACAAGGTTCCCCCTCTCATACCTAAAACAACCTCATTTAGTTCGTAAATAAGTGTGACATTTTTTAAATTTTTATTAACGCAAATAATGGTTCCCTCCTGATATCCTGTGAGAATTATTTTACTGGAATTTTACCATCCTGATTACATTCAATTTAAAATAAAACTGTTGCAAAGCTCAAATAAAGAGATTATTAAAATCGTTATCATACATTGTGTGGGAGCTATTCTTTCTGTTTTTTTAACCTGAAAAAGAATTAGAAATTCAAAGCTTTTATTAAGCCATACTTTAGGACTGTATAAAATCTCTATAATGCCATCTTATACCATTAATCTCTATCAATATCAATATATCTAATGGTCAGTTTCTTCATTTCATAGGTTACTTTTTAAATAAAACTGTTGCAAAGCTCAAATAAAGAGATTATTAAAATTGTTATCATACATTGTGTGGGAGCTATTCTTTTTGTTTTTTAACCTTAAAAAGAATTATAAATTAGAATAAGCTTTTACTAAGCCATACTTTAGGACTGTATAAAATCTCTATAAATGCCATCTTATACCATTAATCTCTATCGATATCAGTATAATATATCTAATGGTCAGTTTCTTCATTTCATAGGTTACGTTTTAAATAGGTCTATTTATGAATACAGGTGGAAATTGAACACACACTTCATGTAGGTTCATGACTATACTTTGTGTGCCTTGTAGTGTGATAAGATGTGTGTTGCATTATATAATATTACATGTACATTTAATATTTACCTGATAATTTATCTAAGATAAAATATTTGCAACTGCTAATTGGAAAGCTTTATTTTAAGCTGTGCCAAAGACCACATTACGTAGTCAGATGTACTCAGCATTTGTTGATCTCTGCCAAGACTAAAGGTTTATACATATTTATTACCTTTCGTCTCTGTAAAGTATCTTGATATAAATGTTTCAGTAAAGCTAGAATAATTTTGATAAAATATTCAAAAGGAAGGAAACTTGCTTTTCTTTCCTGACAAAACTTGAGTTTAGTATTGTTGTAGTTTATTCATAGTTCCCCCTCAAATATTTAATGAGTGTATTTTATGCGCAAAAGTTCTAATGAATTTTATTGAAATTATAAATTATTATTTTAGTTTAGTTCTAATAAGTTTTTCGTTGTTCCATTTAGGCTGGGACAAACAATCATATGGCTACCACGGCGACGATGGTCATAGTTTTTGCTCCAGTGGCACTGGACAACCATATGGTCCAACATTCACTACAGGAGATGTAATTGGCTGTGGTGTGAATCTCATAGACAATACCTGTTTTTATACCAAAAATGGTCATCACTTAGGAATAGCATTTACAGATCTCCCAGTAAGTACTTTATCAGTATTGAAACTGAACTGTAATTTAGAAACAGTAAGAATCTATATGAGTAACTAAGTTTACGGCTTTTATCTTTTAGCTATCAAAATGAGCTGCTATGTAGAATGACATTACGAATAAAATCTAAATTCAAAAAGAAAATCGTCACAAACAACTACTTGTTGCCATTCATCATTAAAGAAGTATGGATATTAACAAATTGTTAAGGTTAAATTTACAAAATAATTAAACATGTGCAAAAATATAAAGTACTTGAAATTAAAAATAATTATTATTAATGCGATAACTGAGCCCACCACTCTTCCTACGTTACGAAGGTTGAGAAATAGGTAATGATAAGCATTACAGTGCTAACCATTACCAGAAGATTTTAAGTACAATCCTGAAATCTGACAGGTAAACGTTTCTACCTGTGCAAGAATGTTTTTGGTCCACATCTAGATTTGAGTCTGCTTTCTGCACTTTGTTGTGGTCAGGTTTTGTCAGCTGAGAATTCTTCTAAATGAAAATATGAACTGGTTTTAAGTAATCTAGGGATCCATTGACATGTTTCCTTTTATGCTTATAGTAAAGTATTTTTCTTTGTGATCAATGACAGGGAAAGGTCCTTCATAAGCAAGTTCCAAAGGGTTTTTTTTTTTTTTTTTTTTTTTATCTGATGTATTTGCTGTAACACGAGAACAGTTTTTTTTTTAAAGTCTTTTTGTGTGAATATTTGCTGACATGAATTTTAGGGTTAGGTCAAATTTTAGGATAGGATCAGATGGAGAAAACTTGGAGAGGCAGCCTTGGCCTGTAGTAGGCTGTAAAGCTCAAGAAGAAGAAGCAAAACTCAACTTCTTGAACTGCGAACTCAGATTTTGAAATATTTATTTTTAAACGAAAGGCATTTAATCTTTTGAAAACTACTTTAAGGTGATTTTCATGTTCTTCATTAGTACTGGATGCAATAAATGTACTGTCTAAATCAGGAAGAACAAATTCTAATCCTCTTGAAGACATCGTGAATGAATCATTGTTACATTGGAGGAGCATTTTTTTAAACTAAAACTCATTACATAAAATTTATACAAACCAAAAGGAGTGATGATAACTGTTTGTCTTCTACAATTGAAACTTGAAAGTGTAAATTTTAAAGAAAATATTTGTGCCTATATGGTGAAAATCTTCAATCGGAGGGATTATGTAAAGATCGGGTGTCATCTCCATGTTAGTAACAGTAGTCCTCCTCAAGGCCAATATAAACCAGCTTTGTTATAGAATAAAAGAGACTTAACCATTGGAAGTTTGATGCACAAATTACTCCATTCTCAAGCATAAATTTAGATCTTTATTTAGCTATCACTAATCGTTTTGGATTGGACTGTTGTGCCTTTAAATAAATGAGTTGATCATCGGTCATAATAAAATATGTAACAGTGTTTAATTTATGTAGGAAAAGGGCTTGGAAATTTTGAGATACTTAAAAAATAAATTGAAACTTACGTATTTATTTAATGTGGTTATGTAGTTATTGCTTGAAATAGCTGTGGTAACACTCTGACACTAAGTTGTGTTACCCATCAATTAATTTTTTCTTACTTGTGTCAGTAAGTTATATTTGTAATGAAAGTCAGCTTTTAAAATACTTTTTGTTACATTGGCAGTTATGAATGGAAACTGAAAATCACAATGTAATTCCATATCAAGGTGTAGCATTTTTATACCGTATGTGGAGATGTCTGTGCCATTAGATCGCAGTTTATATTCAGTTTTTGTTTATTCTGAGTAGTTTTAATTATCCTTACGTCAGCACTGCTGTGGACAAGAAAGTGCAAATTTGATCTTCGGTCAAAAACAAGTAAACAAAGTTTGCTACAGTCCTTCATATTTTCTGCAGAAGAGTTTGCTGCTGAACCTTCTGCAGATTCGAGTTTTCCTTGCCTTGGGAATGGTTTATGCAAACATATGGGGTATGGCATTTCTCTGGAGTACATTTTGTTCCAAATTGAAAGAGATTGAAACAGAATTTGCCATTTGGATCATTGCATTAGTGCAAAATGCTTCTTGTTTTTTATTCATATCACAAATTTTATCTGCCACCAGAAGCAAACTTGGTTATGTCTTCATCATTTATACTTTTTGTTGAGTCGGACAGCTTTTCAAGCCAGAATCTTTTAAATTTTCAGACCTATCTGTAATTGCAACTGTTGTAATTTCTGCAAAAGTTGGCTTAATTTCATGTCTCCAAGCTCAATACTATCAGTCAAATGTTTAACATGTTTTCACTTCCTTAAATTAATGTAATAGTTTTAGCAGCTGAATATTTTGTGGCATTTCGTTCATTGCAATACCCCAAACATTTTCGACAGACTTAAGTTCAAGATGTGAAACTAAATAATTAAATTTCATTCATTCTGAAGCAATATTACGGATTTTGAACTGGATTTCACCTTGAAATAACCATATTTCCGACTTATGAATCACCAAAGGTTACTTTATGAAATTTCGAGGACTGCATTGATTCTTTCACAATAGTTCCAAAGACTCAGTTGTTGTCATTTCAGAAGCAAAATGGGTCACCAGTATATAGATTTGACTACTGGTATTCAAACAGAATTACACTTTAGAAATGGTAAGAATCACTACCGAATACCTAAGTTTAGGGCTTTTATTTTTTTAACTGTGAAAATGAGCTGTGACTTAGAATGGCATAAAGAATAGAATCAAAATTCAAAAATAAAATCGTGAACAACTACTTGTTACCATAAAAGAAATATGAATATTTAAAAAAATTAAAATTAATTTTACAAAATTATTAAGCACATCCAAAATATAAAATACTTGAAATTAAAAATAATTATTACTCATTCTGTAATCGAGTCACTACATACGTATTGTGACACTGGAATTAACTTTCCTCTTTAGTCTGTTACTGTAAAATAATCTACTTTCAAGGTTATTTTCCACTGCCCAGTATAACTCAAAGCCTATGCCAATGAAGGCTAACTTAAACTACAGTCTCGGTTGACTTTTGGAAAATAAACAATGACACAAGCTTTGATCGCAAATGGGGGGGGGTTGTTAAAGGCCTATTTTAACCCTTTGCGGCATGGTGGGTCAATATATGTCCCACCTAATTTATATTTATTTTCTCAGTTAGCAATTTCCGTTAGAAATTTTCTAATCTTTTAAAAATAATCTATTTTAGTTATTATTTTTCTCAGTAGATGTTACTACTATACCAGGGTTAAGTTTATAAGCAAAAAATATTCAAAATACTATCACAAGAGTGATATCCATGTATCTCGCATTTTTCAATATTTTAAAAATTTTGGTATACAATTTATGATATGTATGATTCTTTTTAATATTCAAAGGTATTTTATTTTCAAAAATCTTAATTGGATTCAATATTTTATAACATTAATTTTGCAGGTGAAATAAGTGGGTTAAAAATTGTCCCACCACACACTTGAATTTCCACTCAATAGATGACAGCATTCATGATTATTTTTTCTTTTCTTTTTTGCATCTACTTTTTACGTGATTGCGCATGCTTTTACATCCGTTGTATGCTCTGATGTGCTAAAATGTCTAGAAAAAAGTTAACAACTCAGGAAGCTTTGGATCTTTTTGCTGAATTGCCATACGATTGCAACTTCTTCAGATGCGACTGCTATCAGATGTCAGTTCTAGGATTCAGGTGAAAACTTTGAAATGCCAGCCTCTTTATGAGAATAACCCTGAGGTTGAAGTTTTGCATGAAGACAAGGGACTTCAGTAGTTATAATTTGTTTTGCTTTTTAAAGACACAGACCCATCTATGCATGTGGCTGCCATCTATGCATGTGGCACTGTAAATATGGAATCGGAAGTATCTTGCGCAAAAATTTAAAAAAGACAAATTTATGTCAAGAGAATTTATAGACTTTTCAGTTAGCAATTGATTCAATTTATTGCAGAAAATTGAAGGATAAAAGATCCTGTTTCTATTCCTGTCTTGCTTGGAAAAGGCAACTGAAATGAAAGAAATTAATAGAAAAGAACAAGATGGAAAGACAAAAAAAGTATTGTGCCCAAACAGCATTATTTCATACAATAAGAATATGGGATATGTCGACTGATTGATCAACTGAAAGAACTATATGAAATAGACCGCAAAAGCAAGAAATGGTGGCACATGATTTTTTTTTTTTTTTTTTTTTACTTTTTAGATGCAAGTATAGTAAACGCATTTATTCTATTTAAATTTGTTCGCGAACCCGATCATGACGTAAAAACAATGAAAAATTTTATTCTCTCAGTTATAGAAAGTCTAATGGCACTTGCAGGCAAGAAAGAGCTGAAAAGAAAACTGAAATCCCCAGTTCAAATAAAAACTAAAAACCTGTTCGTACAACCAGAAAAGAGACTAAAACATGTAAGTCACACGCCAAAGAGAACGAGCAGAAGAAGATGTGCATATTGCAGCACATCGAAAGAAGAACGACGAACATTTTGGATGTGTGAAACATGGGAAGTGCCTCTATGCTTACAAAAGAATGAAACAACATGTTTTTCAAATTTTCATGAAAAATGACTTTTTTTCAATTTTAATCATATATAAATGTTTTTGAATCAAGTGCCAATTTTAATATTTTATTTAGTATCATATGTACGAGTATCAAACTTTAATCTTAAAATAATATTCAAGAAAATATTTTCCTTTTGTTCCTAAAATTTAAAAATATTAAATATATATATATGCAAAATGTGCATATGCAAAATTTTACAAGTCACGCATATATGCAATGAGTACAAAATGCATTTTAGTGTGTTTATTATGAATATTTTAGAGTGCACGCTTTATTTTGTTTATTCATTCCACATATGATTTTTTGTCCTGCTATACACCAATATGCTATAAGACGTGCTAGTTGCATGGTGGGACAAACGGTATCCCACCTTACCCCGTAAAAAATAAAAGTGCAGAATTTTTTTCAAGCTTTAAAGGCACTTAAGTAAGTCCATCTGACTTATTCTAAGGCATTTTTTTAAAGATTAAAATATATTTTAAATATGCGTGTCGCAAAGGGTTAAAGTAACCGACTATATAGTATTAGAGTGCAATATCTAATCCTTTTAAAATGATTTAAAAGTTTTTCATAAGCTATGTGACAGTTGTACATTAACGAAGCATTGTGACTTTTGTAATGTGTGGTAAATTGAATGAAAAAATATGTTGCTTTAAAGCATCTGTAAATAACTATTTGATAACACTACTAGATGAGTATGCTTTGCATATCATACATAGAAAACATGGACAACCTTAATTCAGTATCAATTTTCCCCTTTAAGCTCCTACACACATTGGCTGCATGCTGATTTTTGTAAAGTTATGTGGGTTCAGAGGACTGTAGGAATCAGTACACAAAAATGTATAACTTTTAAATGGTTTACTGTACACCTTTATGTACCATGTTATATTTTTTGTGTGGCATATTTTTGCTTTTATACTGGCCTGCTGTTGGAAAAATTAGAACATTTTTCAAAATTGCCATTATCTTTTGTCTCTGAAATGAAGCCAGACAAACTCGGTATTACCAGCATGTATTTTGTTAATCAGCAAAGTATTTTATTTAAAGTACTCTTGTACTCAGAACGTTCTTGTACAACAGAAAATTCATCTTAATGTGCTGGGTAAGTTTTGGTAGAATGCCTTTTTTGGTGTCTCACATTGGCCACCATATCTAAAATCACCCGTAGAACTCTTTTGATAAAGAAAGCAGCACAGTCAAACATTGAGAAATGTGGCAAATTAGGTGGTTATTGGATAACGGAAATGTATTTCTGATTTAAAAAATCTCAAGCATCTTTGCTTAAAATACAACATGATATCAAAGGGTTTAAGATGATTAATTTGACTTATACTGCAACGTAGTTATGCTGTGTTAAATGATGTCATTTCATACATTTCTTCGTAGAGAGAGCACTGACAGGCCCTCGCCAAGCCTAATCGGCGCCGTCGTGCAAATGTCTAACAAGTGCCTTTATGTAGTGACGATATTAAAGGGACGTTGCTTATGGTTAAAATTTGAAATGAAACATTATTAACATAATATGAAAAACTAAATTACATTTAATCTTTTGTCCAAATATGCAAATATTTTGTGCTTTGTTTAAACCCACACTCGAACATATTTATTGAAGAATTATATATCATTTATGTTACAAAAAGCCGCCCAACTTGTATAGTGGTTAGTGTTGCTGACTGCCATGCCGAAGCACCCGGATTCGAATCCTGGAGAAGACATGGATGTTTGTAAATGTATAGGGTCCGTCCGGCATGGGGGACACTCTAAATATGCAAGACGAAAGTTCTCTCAAAAGGTTGATGGCAGGGAAAGAGGGGTAGGAGATGCTCCGACCCGTACCCCCAGGCTGCTCTCCATCAAAATTGGGGTGAAACTGAGCTAAGTCCCTCTGTCGCCTGTAAGGTGCTCAAGGTTGTTGCCAAAGACAGGCGTATCTTGCGCTCCTTGCCACGAGGAATTTCATGGGTTTGATCTGATTGTAGGTCAACATTAGTCAAAAACAAGCAAGCGAAGTGAAATAATACACTAAATGCATTGGATACCAAATATATTGCTAAACACTATTTATTATCTTAAAATTAAAAACAAATTAAACTGATTTCAACAGGACACAAAAAATGCTCTAGGTCTGATATCTAGGGATATTCCAAAATTCTTTTCTGCACACCGCTATGTTGTTGACAATGATGTAGCACGGAGTTTCAACCGGCAATGCTATATTTCCTCCAAAAGTTTGCAAAAACTGCAGTTCATCCATAAGATCTGTACTATTTAATATTGCTTTGATTTTTATTAGTTAATGCTTTTTGCAGTTTTTGATATAAGTTGAGCTGATCTTGTAAATGTATGTGAAAGAAAATACGTGATGCCCTTGCGTATGTAAGGGAACAGAGGGTGCCATAGATGCGTTCGGCAAATTGCTTAGTCCTTATTTTGTGCCTACTGTTTCAATCGTAGTAATTTGTGGAACATTTAGCTTTTTTATTTTTAAAGGATGATTGCTTGTTATCGTCATTTTACATAAAAAAGGTCAGTGCAGTTATGTACTATGTTAAATTAGGTTAGCTTTTTAATTCAGAAAAGTGCTGATGTGGGCATAATTACTCAATGTTTTTTTCCATGAACCGTTTGTTTATTACACTAAAAATGATAATCTTTTAAGAAGAAAGGATTGACATATTTACGGAGTACCATTGAATTTAAAATATACCTATTTGAGATTTGAAGTGAAGTAAAAATGTGCAATGTATTGTGAAATAAAATTTGCCATTTCCCGATTTTGAGCTATACGGAAAACTGAAGGAAAATGTTTCGTTATTTTATTACGTCTTAAATGCATACTTTAAATTGGATTTATTAGTTAATAAACAAAAGAGTACCACCACCTCCTTAAATTATTTGGTGTTGATCTAACAGTTCATATATTTTCTAAGCTATGGTTTAAGATATACTCACTTTTACAGAAGTAAGGTAAAATATTTCAAACAGTGGTATTACGTGTGTTTTTAAGAAGTGCTTTACACAATAGTTATTATTTTTACTTCCACTTTTTCTCTGTTTTCATTTTTCCCCAGATGTCTGAAGAAAAACAGAAAAAACTGTCTGAGCATCAGAATGTAATGGGGGGGGGAAAGCGAGAGGAAGACTTAATAAACCAGAACTTTAAAATTACTCAGTTTTTCCAAAACCCAAAGAGTACCCAAACTGATGCTACTATAGCACTAGTTGTCCATCAACGTCTCAGCTACCACTGAAATTACCAAAAGAACCTAATAATCAGAAAGAGTTAGAAAGTGTTTTCACCCGGGAATTACTTTTAACTTCAATGCTGCCCGTCAGAGAAAACAAAAGAAATATTACTGAAATCTACAATTTCTGCAATGGATACACATTTGCCCCTGACTGATGATTCCGGATTATGCCTAAGTCCTTTATTGCCATCCCAATTTCAAGCCTTAATAGAAAATGGTCCTGGATATTACCAAAACGTGGTGTCAAGTTTCAGTTTCTCAAAAGACAAAAATAGACATAATTTGTTTCAGATGTACTTTTGTCGAATCTTGCCAAACAAGGAAAGAGTTAATCTAACAATTATGAAAGAAAATAAACCTGTTAATTCGGAATTTCAAATTTTATTTAAAAAAGAGACACTAAGCATTGGTGCGATATTATTGAAAGAATTATCTCTTTCATTCAGTGTTTAGCCAAACAAAACTTAGCCTTCCGTCATTCCAGTAACAAATTATTCGAAAGAAATCAATTTTTTAAAGTGTATAGAAATGATTACAAAATTTGACCCTATTCATGTCTGTATATATTAATAAAATAATATGCTGCATTACCTTGGAGATAAAATTGAAAATAAAATAATTAGCTTATTAGGGGATAATATAAAGCAAATTATTTTAAATAAGGTCAACCAGAGAAAGCATTTTTCTATTTTACTTGATTGTACCCCTTATGCCAGCCATCAAGAGCAGATATTAATTTGTATGAGGTATTTTAATTTAGAAAATACAGACATGAGTATTGAAAGGTTTTTAGTAATTTGTATTACAACACATGCGAACACTGGAGGATGAACAACATTCTTGTTAAAGACTTTAAGATGAAAATGGATATTAGTAATTTAAGCAGCCAAGAAATACGACTATGGTTCAAAAAGTTTAACATATTGTGTATCTGAACTTATCTTTTTTTATACAGAAAAACAATAACAACAAGCAGTCACAAAAAAGGTAAATGTTGCACAAATTACTACAATGGCTACAGTAGACACAAAATAAGGATTAAGCAATTTGTGGAATGTGTGTATCCTTACATACGCATGGGCATCAAGTATTTTCACGTTCAAATAAGACAGAAGAGACGAGCTCCTGCCCTGGTTATAACTTTTGATCAAATAAGACAGTGTGCTAGGAGGAAGGAGCACTCAAACATGGAAAGCTCGAGGCTGCCTTAACACAGTTAAATGCCCCAACGCCTAGAGGCGATCCAAGAGGCCGCTAACCTATTGGTCGAGCCGACGAGCTAAGACGCCATTAGGGAACTGCTTGTCAACACCTCAATTCTTATTTGTTTGTGTTGATGTGGTGAGGTTTTACGCACAAAAACTGAAATTTTCTCTGCAGTATTGGAAGAGATAAACTTTATGCTTCCAGTTTAATTTCAGTTATGCTTAGTAGTTTTATTTTTTTATGGATTATAATAAAAAATGTAGTATATGTAATTAACCTTTCATGTAAATTAAAATAATATTTTTATATAGTTATTTACCTTTATGCTCTCTTCCTTGCAATAGAGTGACAATAATTATTTTTGGTATAATTGGTGCCAACAATAGTTTGGCATTAATGATTCTGATAATGGGATTATACCAAAAGATGTTATATGTGAAGTTTTTTTTTTTTTTTTTTTTTTTTTTGTCGTCATGCATTTATGAAGAAAAGAAGAAATTGGAAAGAAAAATTTTCTTTCAAAATTTTGTTGCACTGAAATTGAAGTTCAGTAATAAAAAATAATTTCTAACAGAAAAATTTTTGAACACATATCTTGATCAGTTGTCATTTCTTCGAAGCATTTATGTATTTGTTTTTAATCTTTAATTTTAAATAACAGGTTTTTATTAACTTTTTAATGTTGCAAGCAGCTTAAAGTATAATAAATAGTGATTTTGATAAATTTCATACTGAGCTGTGCTGTTAAATATCCTTATGTTGGATTCTGATAACTTTATGTAGTAAAAGCATGATTGCATGTTTAGTTTATGATTAATTTTTACAGCATATATAAGTTACCCCAAGTCACGTTCTTAGCTATAATAATTTACATTTGTTTGCAGCCAAACCTGTATCCCACTGTTGGTCTCCAGACACCCGGTGAAGTTGTTGATGCAAACTTTGGTCAATCACCTTTTGTTTTTGATATCGAGGATATGATGAAGGTATTTTTTAAATCTTGGTGTTTAATTAAATTATTTGTTTTTATGAATTGTAATCCTTATATGTGTAAAAGTGTTTAAAATAAACTTAAAGTATGTACTGGTTGATTAAAAATGGTGTTCATAATTTTTATATCAATAGCTAAAATAATGTAGCACATATAATTTTTGTAAATTTTTAAAAGTTTGCATTTTGGGGAGCAGAAGGTACAGTTTTTTTACGGAAGAAATTTATGTGTATTTGTGCACTAGATTTACATAGTCGGATCTTATGAAATAATGTTAAAAGTTCAGTGCTGATAAGTTTAGTTTTTGGTGGTGAAATATTTAGCTTGAAGTAATATTTATGATTGGATCTGATATAAGATTGATTGTAGCTAAATGTGGAGTGGGTATAGTCATTGTGCCAGTGAATGATTAGAGAAGGCACACTAATAGTTCTAGCTGTGTAATCATTGCATTGCAATTTGGTACCTAAATTAAATTTTCTAAAGTTTCAAATCAGTAGCTTGTAAATAATTGTATTACATGTTGATGTTCTTGTGTGAATCCTCATTGATGCATATTTTTAGGTCAACTTTTTAATTATTGCTGTAAAATTATGCTACTTTTGGGGTTTAGGATTTTCAGTATTTTTCTTTGTTGATTATATTTTGTTTATTTCATTCTTGCTAATTGTGAACCTTGTTCCGTGTTATGAGGAAACTTGCAGATGTTCATAGTCATACTAGTAATGTTTTCAATAGCTGTGCTGTCCAGTATGAATGTGCTCCATTATTTGGGAAAATTGCATTTTAAATTTATTGCTTTATAACATTTTTACTTTTTAAAAATATATTTTGTATCTCTTGCTATTGTATTTATTGTAGGAATTAAAAAGGCGCACAAGACTTACTATTGAACGATTTCCCGTGGTTGATAAACAAGGTGAATGGCAAACTACTCTTCATAGGTAAAATTTTAAATTTGTCCGTTATAGTACATATAATTAGCTAATAATATAATATTTTTTTGTTTAATTTTTATTTATATTGTAGTCACTAAAAGTAACATGCAGTAAATATAGTTGCCTCTCCTAAAACTATCAATATTTTTCTTAATTTTGTAATTTTTCATCAACATGAGGTGGTATTTGTTATAAGTTGATGAAAATCTTCCCTTTTTTAGGATCGTTCAAACATACCTTGTTCATCATGGTTATTGTGCAGCAGCTGAAGCATTTGCTCAAAGTACAGGACAAGCCTTCACAGAAGACATTAAGTCAATCAAAAATAGACAACGTAAGTATATAGAATATATGAAAAGTGTATTTTATTTCATTGTCATTAAATATTTAATTAGACTTTATAGTTAAATTTATATTTCTTCTGAATCTTACTTTACTTCATTTTTTCACAATGTCAGAATTATTAATGCGAGAAAAATGTATGATGTAATATAGATGTACAAATGGACAGTCACAAAGGAAAAAATATATATATATAAACTTAATTGTAATTAATCTACACACGGTACTGAAGAAACACATTTACACAATACTAAGGCAACTGTTGTGTGGATATAGCAGTGTAGAGCAAGGTGTTATGGAGGATTATGAGCTTTTGGTGGAAAACATTTTACTGACAATGAAGGTTACTATCAACAAATAATAACTGCATTTTTAGTGGATGGGACAAGTATATAAGTGCTAGTCTCCTACACCCTTGCCATGGTCACCTGTGTGGAATATTAACACAAGGTATGTACTTGTGTGTTAGTATTCTTTAAAAAAAAATCAACTACATTTGTTTTCTGTTTTTTACTAAAACTAGCACTTTTCACCTAATATTTTACCACGTACTCTTTAGATTTCTCTTTGGTGCATTTCAAATAAAGTTCAGTTATTCAAATCTGGCCTTACAACTTATGAAAACTTCTGTTAGCTTAAGAAAATGTCACTAGATTAGCTTGACACATTGTTAACATCATTGAGAAAGCGTGAATATTGCCTTTGTGTTATAAATGAAATTTTCGGTGTTTGTGTTCTGTAGGGAGAGAAAACAGTGTTAGTGCAGTTTGGACGTAAGAAATTGATTATGATAAAAGATGAATTGACAATTCATTTGATATTTTTGAAACTTGGGGTATTTAATGTGTGTGGGGAGGGGTAAAAGGAATTTAATGTAAATTAGCATTATAATAAACAATTTATTTGAAGTAAGATATACAGACATGCCAAAACTTTTTATTAACCATTTGACTGAGCGCTGCATTCATTTGTCTCGAAAACCGCAACGCAGTTAGTTATTTTAGAATGCACTCGTGTTACAAAGTACGCGCAAGGTCAAACTACGTACATTCGCACCCACGGAGCAACAAAGACACACTGAAACTCCCAGTGCGAGGGTGCTGCTTTCTAGCAGTCAAATGGTTAAACACACCAGAAAATTATATATTATATATTATTATCTTGTTATCAGTTTGTTTACATATATAAACATACCACAAAATTCATTTTTTCTCAAGCAACAATTGTAGCTTTTTCCATTGATGGAAGAGTGGAACTAGTAAGCATAAGTGCAATTACAGAAAATAAGTTGGATTATTAACCATCTATTTCTCGCCATTGCAGTAATAAACAAATACAGTCAAAAGTTGTTAATTCGGACACCCATAATCCGGAATGATCTATAATCCATACCTCAAAGCTACAAACTTTCTGCACATGTGTCGCGTTGACGCATGCGCATAGGCGTTTACGTGTGCGCGTAAGACCTTTACGGCTGCGAATATGTGCGTGCGCATAAAACATTTACACATGCGCATTTAATGTATAACGGATGGTATAAGCTAAGCTAAAATTATCTAATTCAGTTAATGTTGCAGATTGTGTTGTTCCTTAATCTTCGAATTGGATCCGGCTTATTATTTTTTGCAGACTGTTAGAGCAATTTTATAAAAGTAAGCTTGAACTTTCGATTATGTCAAATAGAATTTCCGATATATATTTTGCTAATATGTAAAGATCTAAGTGAAAGTATGTTCGAAATCCGAAATCTGTTTATCAATTTCACGCTGCTCTGCGGGGGGGGGGGTCTTTGTAGATCCTTTGGTAGATTATTCTGGAGCTACCAAAGGATCTAAAAAGCAAAATCATGTTTCGATGTATCAACAAAAAGTGGAATTGCTGCAAAAATGGATAAAGACATATCTAAACTTTGTTACATCGCGCCATGAATTGGAAGTTGGATCTGTCAGCACTATCCTTATCTTCAGGGCAGATTTTTTATTTTATTTTGGCTTATAATTCCTTACTAAATGTAGTATTTCATCTCGATGTACTCCGTCTTTGATATGATTTAAAACAAGTTCCTCGTCATTATAATTTGCTTCCGATAGTGAAGAAAGTGACAGAGGTTATTGAAAACGAAAAAATTTCGATTGACAAATTAGTCGGTATTCTCGACACAGCAATTATAGGACTTGAACAGCGGAACTTTGTAAACTGAACAAGAAATTATGTCTGTTTAATAGAATTAAAGAGAAAAGTATTATCACATAAAAACGAAGCAACTTAAACAACTTACATTGAAAGAAATGTTTAATAAAGTAAACAAATAAATATTAAGCTTTTTTTCTTTTTTTTTTTTTGTAAATTTTGATACCCTTTAGATCATAATTGTTCTTTATTTCATAAATTAGTTTCATATTTTTAATTTTGTAATTTCTGCATGCCATCTTACCAGATTTAAACTGATGATCTATAATCCAGAAAAATTGATAATCTGGAATTGCCGAAGTCCCGACGAGTCTGGATTAACGACTTTGACTGTATTCTCACCAGAGTCGCTACAAAAGACAAAGTCCAAAATTTCTGTGCATATGAGGATTTTAGAACTAATATATGAGAAATTTAAATAACATTACTCTTGAAAACGTCTGTGGGGTTAGTTACAAAAAATAATTTTTTTAATTTAATTTATTTTTAATGAATGGTATTTTCTGATGATTGCTTTTCTTGTTATAGCTGTTTAAATCAATCTGTGATTATTTATTTACTTTTTAGATATGTTAAGATTGTATTATTTTAAATCCTGATTATTTACTAGAAAATGTTTAGTATGGCTGATTAAAAATCATGCTTTGCTTAATATGTCACCTCAACCAACTTAAGTATTGTGGGAAAAGAAGATAATTCCTAATTTCTTTGGTTTTAGTTTAGTAATATCCAGCTTCCTTCTTCAAAGCCATTGAGGTAAGAATAAAAGGTGCCAACCCGCCGTAGTACGGATGAAGCAATGCTTCCAAGCTTTGATCTCCAGGGTACAGAGTAGATGTGTTTTGTTTACATCCAAAGCATCCTTGACAGAGGAACACTTCTACATAAAGATGCTGTTTCCTATTCCACCTCCTTTTGGAAGGGGGTGATGCAGCAAGTTTCTAATTCTCCTTATTTTTAAAATTTTTATTTATTTAAGAGGAGGGTATAACAGTTATGTTAATGACCCACTGTTTCTTTGCCTTGTTGAGAAATTCTTAAGCATTCAGCTTCACCTTAGGACTTATAATCTTAATGTGTAGTTCCAACAATATGGCTTTACAGTACACATCGCTGGAATATCATGGCAGTGCTAAGACATCTGTTTCCTGGAAAACTTAACTCGTTATTCAGTGATGTTGCTTGGCTGCCTCATTCTCCAGAACTAACCTGATATGATTCCATTCTTTGGATTTGCCTTAAATTTAAAATTTACACATATTAAGGCCACACTATTAATGACCGCAAAAGAACAATCTAGAGGTTGTGCATTTGTTCCACAAGCATGACATGTTGGGTGATGCAAATAGTTTTTAGATGTGTAATGATAACAAAGGGCAGCATTTAGCTGACATAATTTTCAGAATAAAGTAATTACAAACTGTTCATATTTTTGAGTAAACAAGTTTGATCTACAATACATTCGGTTTTATTAGCCTTTAAAATGTGGGAAGTTTCTTAGCTCATCTTGTAGATATGATGATACTTAGCACAGAAAATACTTTGTCTTCCGAATAGTTAAATTTATTAGTGATGAAACTTGAATGATGATACTTAGCGCAGAAAATACTTTCTGTCTTCCGAATAGTTAAATTTATTAGTGATGAAACTTGAGATATGATATTACTACCAGATTTCATAAATGTTAGTTTTTATGGATTGATAATTTGTCCTTTTTATTTAAAAAATGCATATTTGTTTTTATTTAAATACAGTTTTCCAAATCATATTGAATACTGTTTTATGTAATATTCTTAATCAGTTTCTAAGGAATGTTTGAGAAATACTGGCACATTCTTGATTTTAAAGCTGCTGTATAGCAAGAGTTGATGGTTGGTATTAGAAACAGAATGCTTCTATTCTGTTATTATTTATTAAAACAGAATTCTGTTTTTATTTAAATATAGTTTTTCAGAATCATATTGAATACTATTTTATATAATATTCTTAATCAGTTTCTTAGGAATGTTTGAAAAATACTGACACATTCTTGATTTTAAAGCTGCTGTATAGGTTGATGGTTGGTATTAGAAAGCTGCTGTATAGTTGATGGTTGGTATTAGAAACAGAATGGAACAGGGTTCTTAAGCTTCGTTCAGATGGGGGCGTAAAGGGCATAAGTGGTTAAAGCCGAGCTCTGTTGCCAAGGCAACCAATCTGTGCAACGTCACAAAATCTGGTTTAGCGCTCGTGGCATAGGGTTCAAAGTTCTGAACTTTACGCCGAGTTTGGGATAAGCATCGACCAATCAGAGCGAAGCTAAAATGAAGCGGCGTTCTACAGAAGATTTCGCTGTCACAAAACAAGCAGAGCGAAAGCGGGGAAACCAATCGAGCAGGAGGACAGTGCGGGAAAGTTGTAGACACATCCACGCATGCGCAAATTTACCTTCTCTCATTGGCCACGGCTTACACCCCGTTCTCGCAAGTGTGAACGGAATTCCCCTATTTTATGCCCTTATGACTACACCTCTATGCCCTTTACGCCGCTGTCTGAACACAGCCTTACGGTCCTTAATTTTGGCCAAAATCAGCAGAAAATCCTTAATTTTAATCATCCGGAATTTCTGTTTTAATGACTGCCATTTTGAGTGTGAATTAGCGTTTTGGAGGAATATTTTTGGCGATTCATTGACATATATAGTTACCTTTTGAATGGTTCATGGCTTATAATTTGTTACTATTTCTAATATAAATGATGGGATACTCGAGTTTTTAAGCAAGAAGTGAAACATAAGCATTTTGAAATTCATTTTTTCTAATA